ACAGTGGCTGTTGTAGAGCTGTTTTAGATGAGCTGCAGTGGGTCTATTTTAGGCATTTCTTGTTAAATAGGTGTACTTGGAAATGATTAACAAAGTCAAAAACACTCCTGCTAATGCACTTCCATATCTCTGATGAGCCTTTGCATACTTTCTTGACATTACAGTGTAACAGGAGCCCATATGTAACATCCAACACTGCTTAGGCAATGGAGCAATCCATCATGTCTGTTACATGCAAGAGGCTCTAACCTTCCTGTTCCTCTGAAGTGGAAATAATCCTATAAATAGACTAAATGGCATGCAGATGATAGGACTTAAACAGTAAATACACTGATCACATGCCAGGGTTGTTTTAGCACCACAGGGAGGCATGTGAGCAGCGGATGGATGTGCTCACTCACGCACAGATTCCAATGGTGACCAGGTGATCGTTTGCAGGGCCACATTCAGGTCAGGTTCTGGGCTGTGAGCTAGTTATCGATTGAAATTAAGAGGTAGAAGCTGCTCTGCCCAGGCTACAGCAGGGAGAGTGGGGACATGCAATGTCCCACAATGCCACAATGTGGCTTCCATTGAGGACTTCAGGACCATCTGTTTCACACCAGTGGCAATGGGGGCAACATGATGTCATCTCTTGCATCTCTATCACACACACAAACAAACCCACCATCCCCGCATCCTTCTGTGATAGAAAACCACACCCCACACAAATTTAATGAGTTCACTAAAAGTCTGAGCATTACTTTAATAATCCAAGCTTTCAGTGCTTCGGTATGAATGAACGAAAGGCAGCTCTTACATAAGGGAGACTTGTATCCTGAAAAAAAGCAAAGGAAAAACACTGCACGCCATTCTCCCTCCTACCTCAGTACGTCAGCAAGTCATTCACTGCTGCCTGACTCATCCGTTTCATGAATGGACCAAATAGCATAAATATAATTATCCATCTAACATCAGGCTGAAATCACTGAAAGCCCCGGTCACAGCATGACTGTACAGTTCATCAGACTGGATCTAGATGTTAAAGTCACAAAAGCGATGCAATATTACCACCCCCCACCACCAAAAAAAAGAGGTGACAGCCCACAAATCCTGCTGCAGAACTGCATTCTGCAAGGCCACTGACTGACCCAGATTTTCAAATAAAGCTGCCTACTTGCCCTCTTTTTTCCTGCAGGAGAAGAGGGAAAGAAAACACTGCAGCTAGCTATTTATTTACCTTCCTGTGCCTTCCTTTGAACACCACAGCAAAGGCTCCATGTCCAACCAGGTCTTTTCTGCTGTACTCAAAATCTCCCACAGTCTCCATTGTGATGGGCTGATGGTCCAGCTGATGCTGGGCACAGGAGCCTTGAATGTTGCTCTCCTCTCCAGAAAAGAATCCTGGAGCAAATGATCCCCTCAGTCCTGGCGGTGCTGCTTGTTGCACTGCGGATTTATTTCATGACAAGTCTCTGCTCTGATGTGCCTTATTGCATAAATAAGTGATGCAGTCAGGACATGATGCATTTACATGCTCTCTACGTAGGTTGGGATGTTTGTAATATCACACAGAACAGACGGCTTTGAGCATGGTTAGCAACAATCCTGAGCTAAACCGTATCAGTGCCAGCTGTCAGTCTTTGACCCAGTTGGATAGTGGCAATCCAGCTTTGCATTACTCTCCAAGGAGGCTCACTGTGTGTCCCAGTCACCTAACCTGTTCTGAGGGACAGACTACATGATGCCAACCCTGCTGGACATGACCACGCAAAGATTGGAAGCAGCTGCAGACAGCAAGCTATCTGTTAGCCTGACAATGACATAACCCTGTGGCTACACCTAGCGTCATAGCTGCTGCCCATAGAAGGGCTCTGCAAATATGCTAACAATAACATGTAAATAACGTTACCCTTTTGTAACGTGTCTTTTGTATACTGAATAATTTAACCTGCTTCTATGATACACAAGTGGTAACGTTAGCAACATATAAAGCTAGCCAACATCAGCGATCTAACGTTAAGTTAATCCACAGTCAATGTTAGCATGAAGGATGCAGCACAAATGTCAACACAGAACTGTTGTTAATGTGCAGGCGTTAGTCCTTATTATCTGTCTTCCTCGACCAGACGTCCGAATCCACAATACACATTTCTGTCCTCATGAGAAACACTGACGTTTCCCGAGTGAGCACTCATTTCATCCGTGTGACATAAAAGAACACTTCGTTGTCTCGTTCGTCGCCAAGTCAGAAGGACAGCTAACGTTAGCACTGGGAGAAGCTGTCGTTGTTCAGTTACATTTACTTCCAAGTTACGCTACTGTGTTTCCCTGCTAATGCAAACGGCACCGTTGTAATCGCTGTCCAGCTGTCACGTCTCGACAGACCGCAGGTGCCCTCTCACTGCCGTTCACTTAAACAAAACTGGAAGCCAGTGCCGTGTAGCTGCTTTATACACTATCCCTCCGCGGAAGCCAGCTTGAACGTTCCCTTCCGCTGTGTAGGTTAGTCCGTCTACAGAAGCCCCGAGGACGCCTCAGGAAAAAAAATAGTCTTTTGCTTTAATGAACTAACCTGATTATTTATAGCCCATTAAGAACATAATTTTCCTGTTTATATATTTTTGGACGGGCACAGTTATTTGATCCCCAGGAGTCGATGAGAGGTGCAGGGTTATATGGTTCGGATCATTAGACTTTATTCAAATTATTTTGGAGTGATTTTGGTCACATCTTATATGAAATCACCTGAGAGCATGATTAAGTGATTATTATGGGAAACGCAGGGACTGATCTAAAAATAACCTGACATTCATTTACACCCTCAGGCTGTGGCTCAGTGACAACATAGCATATTTTGTCAACCAGGGTAAATTCACTTGGCTTGACAAAAGAGAACATATAGCCTATCATAAAAAGGATGTGGGCTATGAAAATATGTTGTGTAGGGGAAACAGGGAAGCTTTGAACAAGTCTATTGCTTTCTGTAGCCTACAGTGTACAGCCTTAGATTGGACACCCTCTGGTGGCTGAAACTTGACTTTTGTCTTTTTGGACTAAATTAACAAATAGGCCTTTAGACTGAGGAGGTCATGTCCCCAGTATTTCTGTCTTTGACTTATATTTAGAAACCACTGAGAGTTAAATACTTCAATTAAAAAATATGGTGGGTATTTTAGAGGCAGACTCCAATATGATCATATATTTATTTGATTGCTTTTAAGCCCCCCCCCCCCCCCCCCCCCCCCCACGAGGGCTTGGGCTTATTTATTCATCAGGATATATCTGATCAAATAATTAGTAAACACAATCTGAGCACTCAAGCACTCAATAGCAACTTCTGATACTCTGAGCAGCATTAGGTTGATAGTCAGACTGCAGTGAGGTTTGACACCCAATCATTTAAAGGACTAAGTATGTCTCTAGCAGAAATTTCCTTCTGTACACTTGCTCCAAAGTCAATGAGGAACAAAGGTGAATGAGGGTTTGCCAAAAGAGGATCTCAAGTTTACTGATTTAAGTCAAGAAGTCCTGTTTACAAGCTAGCTCTATTGAACATGTTGAATTCATTTGCATTTTCACTGTATTATTTGAACTTATTAACCTCCTTATACGAACAGTCTATGCAATGGCCTTACGAAACACTGGATCTCAGCTTGGAAAAACTGATATGGGAGTTTTATTATTTTTTACCACAAGTGGAGACAAGGTATTTGTCTAAGAGCGAGAGACTAGATGAACTAGAAGAACTGGGGATGTCAAGCTTTTACGTAGATGTAGCACATGTTAGTATTAGTGTTATTTTGTTTATTGCAGAAGTGTTGAGCAGATTGTTTGAGATTGTACAGGTGTACAATGCAATAATAACGTGGAAATGACAAATGCAAAGTCATAAGTGTGAAGGCAGTTCGTAATCCTGAAGTTGGGTAAAAAAAACAGCACTGCATGCCTTTTTTCTAACGACATCATCAGGGCTTGAACTTTTGACTTTTGACAGGAAGTCTGGTATAAACTGTGGCCCTGTACTTTGAAAGGCATGGGTGTTTACCACGCAGGGAGGGTCTAATCCACAATGCTGTTGCATTATGGGAAATGCAGGATCCAGTGTTTTTCGACCCTGATCCATAATAGGGACAAAAAGTCAGGTTATCTCAGACCATGTTTGCTTTATTTTTGACACTTTTTTAATTTGTCTTTTGATGTCCCTCAACTTTTTGACACTGGAACAGTAAAATGCTGGAGTACTTATTATGCACAGTGTGCAGGTTCTATACTGTAGGCCTACTATGCAGTTATGTAGTCTGTGTGGGTACCTCCTACATTTCATCTGTAGAAACTTGGGATAACCCCCGGTGACAGTTTATTCCATCTCAAACTTTTTACATAGTATTCTTGCAAAGCACTGCTGTGACTTTGTTACTACAGATGTATTAAAGCATGGGTCATTAGACCATTTCCGTTCCTCAGTAATGTTTGTGTGTGTTCAGGAACTTGAAGCCGGTGACTCTTTTAACAGCTGCACCGCTGATATTCATGGAGTGTGTGCTGTTTTCTGAAGTAAACAGTAAGTTCTTTTGTTTTGCTGACATTCAGGAAACAGGTTGTCAGAACATCAAGCCACACGCTGTTCCCCCTCCTCTCTTTGAGATGACTCATTTCTGTCAGAGATCAGTCAGTATAATATGTTGCCCATTACTATTATGTATTTTCTATTATAAAGATTTGCCTATTTCCAGATTTGTACTCTTATTTATTTTAGTTCTTTATTTCCTTGCCTGTTGTGTAGATTGTCTACATGGGCCCTGCGTTTTAAAATGGTCACAAAACAGCACTCAGCCTATGTAACTATTACTGTAGCCATTCAGTAGCTATATAGAATTGAGTCCGTGCAAGTCATGTCCCCTCTCTCTAACTTCATTTCCTGGTCCTAGTGTATTAAATCAAATAAAGTTTTTAAAAATGCCCCACAACTTTGAAAAAAAAACAAAAAAACAATGTCACTGATAAAAACACAAAACGTGTTCAACAAACAATTAAGTGTTTACTTTAGGTTCAACAAAGGCAATTTCCTTCTAATAATTGTGTTATGATCAGAGTAAATTAGACAGCTGTAGTGTGGTGATGATGAGTCAGTTCTTCTTCTTGGCTTTGGCTGACATGTGTCCAGACTTGGAGGTGGAGTTGTATGTGGAGGAGAGGAGCATGGTGAGGAGCAGTAGCACCGGCACCAGCAGGTACGGGGCATATATGGAGACCAGCAGCCAGCGCTCCTGCGGGGTCTGCGGACCGGGGTGTGGTTTCATAGGGAACTGATAGAAGAGGACGTGAGCCAGGATCGGGAACAGCGTTGTGGCCACGTGAGTGGAATACACAATGGCAGGAGTCCTGATCCACTTACAACCACCTGGGAAAAAAGAAACAAATGGAGTGATCAAAAGATGCCCCTGGCTGCAGAAAGTACTTCCACTAATAAATCCTCAGAATAAGATGGACAATGTTTCCTTGAAGGGATGTTGCTGTGGGCACGACATTTCATACAATTCCATTTTTGTCTCCATTAAAACCAAAAGTATATTTATCTTCCACAACTGTAATGGGTTTCGTGTGTTAATACAGCAAAAATCCTAGAGAGGTCAGGTTTGAGCTGGCTTCTGTACTGTCCAGTGAATGGAAACACCACACCGAACTCTATTAATAAAACAGTCAGTTTAATGCGCACTTGTGCAACGGTGAACGTAGGCCTATATTAAAAATTTTGCATGAAGTCCCACAAGTGTGGTTCCCTAAGACGTTGTCAGTGAATAAAATACTAATTTCTTCAGTCTACTTGCTCAGAAATTAGAATAGACACCCTGCAGGGATCCATAAGAGTAATGTATGCCGAATTCAACAATGGGTAGTACAACATTCCAAAAAGCCATTTCTTTTTCTTCTTTTTTATGTTTATGCGCGTTCAGCAAACAGCAAACGCAACACATTTTAGACACGCACATTTTGTTTTTACTGACCTTTCAGAAAAGCATAGGCTGCAATGGGAAAGAAAGGGGTCTGAAATAAAGCCTCGCAGAAAATAAAAGACCTGAACCACTCCGGAGGATCCAGCACCATGGGGTCTTTGAACTCCTCTGCATACCACTTCAGAAGATCTCTGAACTGGCGGGGAAAAAAGATTCAGTGAATGAATCCTCTTATAACCACAAAACGGTTGATTGTAGGATATGACTATGTGTCTGTTTCCCCAGGGACTGACACTTACCGGCTGAGGATACACGTGTCCCGGTAGTAGAGCTTGTAAGTCAATAAATAATGTGATGGGAATGTGAGAGGCAAAATAGAGGAAAAAGATGATTTCTAAAACACGGACAGCCATCCTCTCTAACTTATTCAGTGCAAATGACAGGCCAGGTACGCAGCAGTCGCGTGTCGTAGAAACGCGTGTTCTCAGGAGCGCTCCCATTGGCCCACAGAAAGAGATGGGGGCGTTCCTGAACGCACCATTCGTCCCACGCAGGAGAAGGGATTGGACGTACTGGACATGCTGCTTCAGGTGCTCCTCGAAAAGTGACGGAATCTCTCATACAAAAAGTTTTGCACATTAATATGATGAGATATTTTGTTATTTAGTTGGTTATTATTTTTTCTTCTCAGTAGTATCTGTTTATGTACTCGTTGGTATGCACACATTTAGACCTATATAATCTTGAACAGTAATTTCGGTTTGGCTGATGAGACAAAATGAAAATAAACAAAAATGCTTTCATGGAAAATCAATAATTAAATTTTAAAAAAAGTATAATAATTAATAAGAAATAAGAAAACTAGAAATGTATTTTATAAAGTAAACATGTATAGATCTTTTGTGATGTTCTACAGCAGTCTAGTGAAAAAGCAGCTAATGCACATGACATATAAAATATATATTTTAATCGAATTAACAAAAATGGAATGGATAAAAATGAAGAAAACTAAAGTTAAAATAGAAACACAGAACATGACATTTTACATTGGCAAACAAGAACATATAAGTAGGCTACATAATTTTACCATCCCTGTGACATTACACCACTGTCCAGTTGAAGCACTTGACAGGCTGTCCCCCAAGCTGAAACAATTTGCCTATAAATGTGTGTATTGTTTTAAATACACAATCATTCCGAAAACAGCTTGATCTGATGCCTTGGTAAATTTATTTAGATGGATTTTTATCTTCAAAGGTGACGCTGGCTGCTCGTAGACATTTAGCTTCATGATATTCAGCGTCATCGTTCACCAAAAGCCTCGGACTCTCAACATCCACATAATCCTGAAAAATAAAAGAGGACAGCAAAGCTTAACCACAAGGACATTATCATAGAAAAGCTACAACAATCTACTGTTTGCCCATCTGCAGTAACAAAAGTGTGATACAACATACCATACAAAAGATTTTCTCTCCAAATGCAGTTGTGGTTTGGTGGCTCTTCCCTTACCATTCAGACACATAATGTGATGTGTCTGACATTTACAAGTTGTTTGAAGATACATTTTAATAGCACAATAATTAACAAACAAAGAGAAGTGTCCTGCCTACTGAAACTCAAACTTTATCCACACTGTTTCATTGACAAGCCATCTCCTTAGAAACATCACAGCAGGTAGCGTTTATGATGAAAGTATGTAGATTAAAGATGATGAATTCTGGGTTTACCCTCTAAGAAATTGCTCAAAAACGTCCGAATAATTCTTTCCTTGCGGCTCTGAAAATTTGGCGTGTTACATAATATGACTTTCAAGAGGTGGTATTATGTTTTTTGGCTTTTTCCCTCTCCTTTATTGAGTTATATATCTTTTTTGTGCATGTAATAGGTTTGCAAAGTGAAAAAGCCCAAAGTCCAGCCCAAAGGGAGTTCCCATCTCCCACAGAAAACTCTGCTCTGAACTGCCTGAAAACAGCTTGTTTGTAGTCCAGCCTTTACTTCCCTTTCTTGTGATGTCATAAGTAAATACGTGTCATAATGCTCACTGAGTGGCTACTCCGACACGCCCCCAAAAACACAGATGGAAAAACAGTGAGCTGCAGCACACACCTCCTCTCCCTTCCAAACACTAGCTACCCTCCAGGCAGTCAGTGGACATAAAGTTGTTCCTGTGATGTAGAGACAGAGCTCAGTTAAAACTTTATGGATGAAAGATACTTTTGTTACAGATTAATAACTCACCACTCTGAAACTCTTGCTCCAGTTCATGTTGCCAAGCTGGTCGGCAACATATCCAGCTGAATAAAAGCTGTTTACCATCTTTTCACTGACCCGCCTTTCTCTGCTTCTGATTAGCTAGTAGTCCTTAACTAGGAACTGCACATGTGCAACTCCCAACAAAGATTATTTAGAGACAAGATGTATCACTCCATAGCTAAAACGAAGCCTTCAACACAAGGTGAAAAGAGGAGCTGCAGCAATGTGCAGTAAGAAAAAAAAGGTGTTTTTTGAAAATTAAAGCATGTAAACCTGTTCTGGTACAACCCCTAAATAGGATTTGGAACCTGAAAATGAGCACCATACCACCTCTTTAATCAAGTATGTATAGTCATATGGCTTTACATGGCAAATTAAAATCCTACAGCCTAATTTAAGTTACATAAGGTTCCGACTATTTTGGCACCATTAAGAACGCATGATTTTATTTTTTTATTTTTACAAAGGAAAGGATAGATAAGATGAAGAATCAATGGCATAACCTTTAAAAAGTAAAATTATTATTAAATTAAAATAATAAACAATGTAAACCATTCCTAAATTGTTCCTTACCGCATCGTTTTCAATGATGTTCTCCAGCATTTGAACAATGTCTGTGAATGAGGGTCTCAGAGTGTACGGCTCCAGCCAGCAGTCTTGCATGATGTGAATCCTACAGGGTTCACACATTCAAGGGATTCATCATGTTATGAGCTACTGAGAACCAGCCATCATCCTTAATCCTAAAAATCCAATTTTGATAGTGCTACAACTGGGGTCATAACTGATTCAGAATCACATACCAGATTTAGACTGATGACTACGGGAAAAAGCAGCAAAAACATTTCAGTTTCATAAGCTGCATATCATTAGTTAGTTAGATTCTTACGGTCACTTCATGGTACCAAAGGTGTTCCCACCCTGCAAAAATAAAACACGGTGGGAAACACTGCTGAGTTCTGGGTAAAGGCCAGCATGAGACAGCATAAGCCTCCTGACTGGGAGACTGCTGTCTCATAAGGCTTTTCCCTCTCCCACTCACTGCCGTGGTACCTGAGCGCTCAGACCTTTCCCCCCATCCATGTTGTATTCAGCTTTGTGTCTTTCCAAATGTTTGTATACAAACCAAAATATTTACATATTGCTCATATGAGAAGCACTGTTTATACCTCCATATTATTTTTTTATGTTGTTTTACAGACATACACAGCAGAACAGTCGACTGAAAATGTATCTGCATGATATACTGTATTTTGATAATAAATGAATCATTTCAGTCATTTTTCAAGCAAAGATTGTCAAGCATCCAGTAGTTCCAGCTCTTCTAATGTAATCAGTCTTACTCTGATTTACATTTTTCCTGTTTTGCATTATAGTACTGTTCTGGGCATTTGGTCATCGTCATCTTGGGCTCTGAGAAATTGTCATGATAAAGTATTATAATTTGTTGCTGCCCTACAGACATGCATCTCTGTGGCAGACATTAGCTTCTGTGGTGCAGTGTGCACCAAGACACAGTTCCCACCCCAGCCACGGCATGTTCACCGTGCTGCAAGAGATACAGAAGTATCTGCTGTCGTACCGCCAGACGGCAGAGCAGTTTTTCCCTCAGACTGTGGGACTCTTAAATTCATCCTCAGCACTGGACCATGCAAAATAGTTTATTTCTGTATATGATTTTATCATTTTTGGATGTTTGCTTTGTGAGTATCATACATTGAACTATAAACCTCATCTCATTATACAACCCTGTCATAAAATGACAACTAAGTCTAACTTGTACCTTGTACCTCGATTAAAGATTGTCAGCTGTGCAAGAAATTGTACAACAGTGGGTTTTCCTTAATCTTCAGCTGCCCAGCACTCAATGTTATATTACAGGTTTTTTGAGGTTGAGTTTGTATGCCGATGTTTTGTGTTATTGTCCGTTTTCACTTACATCTCCGGTCTGCAGCCTTCAGGGTTTGTGTTCTTATGACCAATACAGATGTGGTACACCACTGCCTCTGATGTCTCCAAGTTTGGGTATGGCAGTGTACCTGAAAATGGAATTTTCAAGACAGATGTTACATCTTAGAGTAGTAAAACAAACCTTTCACAAGTTTCACAAATACACCAATATTCTGTATTATTTAAATTTACCAGCTTTGTATTTTGCCTGGATTAATGACTTTGTTTTAGAGTGGTAGGGAATGCAATACTGCCTTGAAATAAAGGACGTGTCAAACTTGCGCCATTGGGTGGCTGTGGCTCAGGTGAAAGAGTAGGTTGCCTGCTAATTGGAAGATGGGCGGTTAAATCTTGTGAATGTGTGGGATTTTTACTTTCTGTTTCTGATAACCAGTTGACTCCTTAGACACTGCTATCAGTGAATGAATATGTGTTAATGGGTGAATGAGTGTAAAGGTGCTCTGAGTTGTCAGAAGACTAGAAAGGTGCTATACAACACATACAGAGCATTTACCATTCAACCAAGCAAAGAAAAATCTCCACATTGGCCTTGTATTTTAAATACTTTTGTGCCACATATCATATCTTTTACCTGAGCTACTAACTTACCAAATGTCTGCATCTCCCATAGCACGATGCCAAATGCCCACACGTCTCCCTTGAAGCTGTAATAGTTGTTCTTGAAGTACTCAGGTGGGTACCAGCGCAGGGGCACACGCTGCTGTACGTGTTATAGACAATGGAAAATGTGATTTTAACATAACTGTGTGAACTAGATCATTACGCTGAAACTCACACCACAGACCAACAGAAATAAATTTAAAATGTTAAAACAATTTGAGACATCAGTGTACTAACTATCATATATTGCTCTAATATTAGTTTAATAATGCCCTCATGGTGGAAATTATGAGTAACCTTCGCATCACGTCAGTGACACCATTATTGCTGGCCTTTCTCTATAGAGGCCACATCTTTCTGAAAGCGATGTTTCCTGTTGCGGAGGATGTTGCTAAATCCCCCTGAACACACACATGCACACACACACACACACACACACACACACCATTCTATTTCTATAGTTGTGAGGACCCTCATTGACATAATGCGTTCAAACAACCCTTTGAAGATGTGAGGACCGGCCATAATGTCCTCACTCTGTTGGTTAAAATCTTGTCCGGGTCCTCACTTACTCACACACAAACACACACACACACACACACACACACACACACACACACACACACACACACA